CTAAAGGATAAAGGATAAATAAAGCATTTGCCGTTGATCAATCCCTTTTGGGATGCGGCACGCATTCTACTTCCATTTGTACATTCGTAGTGGCGTTTGAATGCGATGTGGCCTATACAATGACTTGCGGGGGCCAGCCGATGTACAAGTCAGTGTTTTTATCCTCCCAGACAAGTCTGGTACCAATTAACCGACCCCGGAGGGATGGAAGGCTTGGTTGGCTCACGACCCAGGATTTGATCCCCGGACCGCTCGCGTGGTAAGCGCGCCACTTGCCACTACACCACTTCCGCCCCTAAATAAAAAATTCAGAATATATACTATTTGGTAGAAAGTTTTCCAATGGTGATGTCCAACTGAGTGGACTGCAAAGGGGTTCAAGCGCTTTAGACCAGCACGAACAGTACCAGATATAATGAAAAAAGACGAAAATCAAAGATGACGATCATTCCAAACTACCGCGTGCTCAGTGGAACGTGAAAAAGGCATCGTTATCGAGGAAATGTCAGGAAGGGCGCTTCACTGAGAAAACTTATGGCCTGTCTACGAAATAAGGATAATTTTAAATGGACATGTAATTTCGTTCCAAGTAATTACATATTTCAAGAGTGAGAAGAAACGGAAGCATTGAAAGCTTAAAGTGTAAGAAAAAGGCGGAACCTTATCCCTTCTGCGGCTGTAATAACTCAAAGGCGTCCAACCGGCAATTTTACCGAGTCGCTATTTCCAAAAGTCGTATTAGCTCTTTCAAAGAAATTGCATTCCTCGCCCTTTCGATGTCCTTTTGACCGGCTTTCGCTGCTGGACTGATTCTTCCACTTCAGCTCCCAAATTAGGGAGGTAAGATGGCGGAAGTTGGCAAATGCAGTGAATAGAAAAGGCGTATATAGCCATAGGCACGTTCCTTTAGCCTCTTAATAATAGAAGTCGTGAGTGGTCTACCTGGATCTCAATATGTAAATACACTGGTGTGCAAACTCAAGGACGAACTAAATTTTCCGTGACGTATTACTGCCGAGTAAAACAGCTCTATAGAACCTAACCACACATATAAGGAACTGTTCCAGTATAGTACAAAAAGCAAATAATAGGAACCGTTAAAAGGTCCACAAAGCTATAAATAAGTTAGGTTACTTCATCTATGTTGTCCTTAAAGGCACGAGTCGGGATTGAATTGATGCGTTATTTTGTTCAAACATTAGGCAAGGGGTGCAATGAGGAACATTAGTGAGGAGAAAAAGCAAAAAGCACCATAGAAAACACTAAATTTCCCTTAGGAGGCCGGCCGTAGTACGACGGAGAGACACAGCGCTGCGAGGAGAGAACGCGAGATAGTACGTCGTACGCGAGCAGCGCGCGGGCAAGGCCTTAGCGCCATTGCCGCGCACTTTTGGGTCGCGATAGTGTCGCGCCCTCAGTGCTTGGGGAGCCCACTATCGCACCCTGGGAAGAACTTCTGCTGGTTGCCTAATCCTGACTCGTGGCTTTAAGTTTTGCACACCAGTGTAGTAGATTGAAGTAATGGAAACACCTCCTATAACTGAAGAGAATTCGATGCGTGGCGCAACCCCAAAAGTGCATAGCTAATTACAATCGAGCTATGACCGGCTAACCTTTCCTACAATCACTGATTCAGCCAGAATTTACCCAATTAACATCAAAACAACTTTATCCAGTAACGATCATCATCAAACATCCTGTCATCTACAAATACAAACAATTAAAATTATGTACACTAATCTCTTTATGTCATCAAAATGGCAATTTCAATAGAGAACCGACAAGAAAACACAACATAATTTGGCAATAAATAGTCTTAGGCAATAGCTTTAGCAAAGCGCTAAATAGTCGTCCTGGGTCTCACACACACACAAAAATCGATTGATCGTATCGATTCGAGAGGGAGAGGAAAAATAAAAAAAAAATAAATTGTGCGAAAAAATATCTAAACTTGTCCTACGTCGTCGATATCGACCGAATGATGCTTTTTCTTGTGATGCTGATTATGCTCCTGCAAAGAAATTGCTTTTACACTTTTGGAATGATCTGAAAAAAAAATAATTTTCTTTGTATATCCAAAAAATAACTAGAAATAGTTTCGAAATATTTACGTGTTTTTCGAGTGATCTGCCACGAACAAGCGCTTTGATCTGCTTGAACGTCTTCCGTTTCTCTTTCATGTCAGCCGGCAATTTTGCTTTGCTTTCCGGTTCACCACTTTCGGCTGCGGCTCCTAAAATTGCAGAATAACTACCTGATTGTCCCAAAATACAAGCACCAATCAACAACTCCGAATATGCTGTGAGAGCGAAGTATTTCGAGCCACAAATTCCCGGTGAAGGTGTAATTTACAGAGTGATGAGAAAGCTCTCTTTTTAGTACAGGGCTTTGCCCCATTGGTTGCTCATCACCAGTTCCTCGATTGTAGAGAGGGAGGGCTGGGAGGGAGTCCTCCTCCTGTGGCCTGACCCGAGGGGGAAAAGTGATATACATTCGGGCATTCGGGAGAGAGCCAGTTGGGGGTCCTTTAGGATTCAGAAAACATCTCAAGTAAATAAGACCTCTCTCAACCTAAGACAAGTCCAATTGATCACTGTAGTTTCCATATTTGTTAGTTATGCACTGATCGATAAATCAATAAATTTGTCCCACTTTTTTCTTGGTGTTTTTGATGCCGATACTTGCGATAACTGGATCGCCATCGCTCGGCCGCCTCGGCTGTCATTGTGGGCGCGGTTTTGCCGATATTCCGTTCACGCATTTGGAATGCGCGGATTGTGCGAAGCTGAAAAACCAATAATATGATATTCAGCAATCGATAAAATCAATAATGACTAACTATTAATGGAGTGTTACAGCCTGCTGGCTCTGAGACAAAGTCAGGGATACCTAGCCAGCCCATTTAGGCACACGATTATGGTAACTTACATGTTGTCCCATGAGGAACATTCCTCGTATCCAAAGCGATTTTCCAGAACGACGTATGGTGAGTGCACGTGATCTGGCACGTACATTGTAATCGCCATTGATATGAATCTTTGACGGTTCCACCTGAAAGAGTTTACTGTAGAACTACCGTACCCACAACTTAACAGTTTCTCACAACAGCAACGTTTCAGTCGATTTGGCTCAACTCATCCCGTTAAATGAGGAGCGTTAGGGTTACTGCATGTTATCAACAAGGTAGATTGAAAGATTGACAAAAGGCAGATTGGACTTAAAGCATCTGAAACCATTTTTCATGCTCTCCCTTTTCACGCTCTATCGATTCTCAGTGTTTGATACACTAATCGCCTAAGCTTTCCGAATCCATGAGTTCTGTTAATCCGAAGAAAAACGAACGAAGTCCTCACTTAAAAGCACGAGTCTCGAATCAGATCTCCAGATTAATTCTCCGCCTGAGTTAGGTAACAAGGCTCCAACCATACACGTGACACACGAAAGTGCACCATGAGGTGCAACGCCCTTGCCCTGACTGCTGCAACCGCTTCCTTTTTTACTAGTTCGCAGAACACGTGGTTTCGGCGTCCTCTAGTACAATGTTTTTTTCCCGCAAATTCCCTCACCTCCCTGGTGCCGTGCTTCTCCGTTGATCCACGATCGACTTCACAGGAAAAGAGCATCTCAATTTTGCCTTCTATGAACTCTTTCTTTTACGCACTCTTCTTTCATTTTCGAGCGGAATAACACATCAT